TATTTTAAATGTGAAACAAAGGATATGGATGTCATTTTTGAAATTGTTTGGAAAGAAATATTTGTTAATTATGTTTGACCCTGTACATAGAAAATGATATTAAATGTTTATGTTACATTCTGAAAATTTTTGTTAAATAGTTTCCGTTTATTCTAAAAAATAGAAGGTTATGTTAAGTTGTTTTGCTATTCTGGAAAACTATTTTTAAGGAGTTTCAGATTTAAGAATATTGTAGCTAACAGCAGTATGCATTAGACTATATGATTTCTGTTTATCGATTTTAGACTGATTTGTACCCTGTATGGGTCCCCATCTAGCAGGGATGATGGTGCTAGACTCTCTGATTTCTATTTATTGGCATCACTGATATGCTGCCGTTCTGTCACTTGACATTGCTAATATGTTGTCATTTTGTTATTTGAGTAAACTGATATGTTGTCATCTTGTTATCGGGGCAGACTGATATGTTGTAATCCTGGAAATTTTTGTTAAGTAGTTTCTGTTCATTCTGAAAAATAGAAAGTTATGTTAAATTGTTCTGCTATTCTGGAAAACTGTTTTTAAGGGAGTTTTAGATTCTAAAACACTGTATCTAACGGCAGTATGCGTTAGACTATATGATTTTTGTTTATCAGTTTTAGACTAATTTGCACTTTGTATGGGTCCCCATCTAATAGGGGTGATAGTGTTAGGCTTTCTGATATATGTTTATCGCATGACTGATACGCTGCCGTTCTATGATCTGGCATGGCTGATATACTGCCATTTTGTTATTCAGAGAAACTAATATGTTGCCATCCTGTTATTTGAGCAGACTGATATGTTACTATCCTGTTATCTGGGCATACGTTGCCATTCTGTTTACTGGTTGATTGTGTGTTGCCATCCTGATTATTGACTGACCATATGTCACTGTTCTATTTTTTTATATATGTTACATTTAAGATTACAAACTCTCTAAATTATAAACATATTTTGGTTTAAAATTCTAATTTTGATATATGAAAATGATTTGCTATACTGAAAAGTTTATGATATCTGTGAATGATTTATTATACAGAAAGTCTTTCTGATATATAAAAATGAACTGTTACACTAAAAGATTTTCGATATCTGTAAATGATTTGTTATACAACAAGGTTTCAGAAAAATGTAAAAGATTTGTTAAATGACAAATGGTTTGATTTAAATGTTATACATGTCTTTTGTTCTCATAAATGCATGTTATTATTCACTAAGTCTATCGACTCACCCTTTATTTTTTTTTTAGATTCAGAGTTCGGTATTCAGTGGAATTCTACTACTTAAAAAGAAGTCTTTTATTTCTGTTGTTTCTGTTATTTGTTGGAAAAATTAGTTATTTCAGTTTCTGTCAATTTTGTATTTTTGCTAAATTTTATAGATAGTTCCATTTAGTTACAGACATGTTCTTGAGATTATATCGACAGTTGGTTGAGATTTGGATATGAATTTATTTCTGATTATATATGAGATTCTAGTTCAAATATATGTTCAGGCTTGCAGAGTTGAAATTTATTCTACTTCTTATGCCAATTACGACTCCATTTTCCGGGTCGTGACAATATCCTAGACACAAGTTTTTTGCTTAGATCATGTTGAGTTACCCTGTCCTTTAAATTCCAATTCATAAATATCTATCCTTTTATATGCTTGCTTTTTTTTTCTTTCTTTTATTCCTTTTGTGAACATATACAAGATATGTTTTTCAAAAGTGATATATAAATAAAATTTTTGATTCATTCATAAAAAAATGGAAGCTCGGATCAGTTCAAATTAAATGGGGAAATTGTAAAAAGCTAAATATTTATAATAAACATTCTCCGGCTCAGATCGGAGATATAAGGGTACATTAGCGCCATCATCAGAATAAGATGGTTGAAAAAAAGATTTTTAATTTTTTTAATTAAATATAATTTCTGATGTACTTTTTTGTCAAAATATTTTTTGACAGACAATTTCTATCCGAAAATTTGCCAAAAAATTTTTGATGAAAAAGTACGTCAAAATTTGTTTGGTGATTTCCAATGCATAGCTATCCGTCGGAAAAGTCATTATCCAACATATTTCGATCCATTTCTGACAGATTTTATCCATCAAAAATGGGTCTTTTTTGGTAGTGAAAGATAAAATTAAATAATAAAAAATAATTTCTCATAGAAAGAATTAAGGGGAAACATTGGATTTTTCTCTATTAAGTCCTTTTGGATAGCTCTTGCTTATTTACTTTCTTTTATATCGTTCGTTAACCTTTATTTCTTTCTTCTCTGTACCTCTGTTCCGGCACCCAGGTATACCCCACAGCGACAAAGAAAAGTGAAAATAAAAAAAATGAAATGGAATGAAAAGCTCAAAATTAAGCAATCATTGCCAAGGTAAAATTATGAAACTTCAATGCATGGGGGGAGTTTGGTTGGGAATAAAAGTTAATAAAAATTAATTTTAGCAAAGAGCCTTAACTGGCCCATGGTTTGCTGGGCAAAGAAACTGTTTTGATTTTCAAAAGCCTACTAAACTAATATTTTATTTGGTACTAAATTTTAATTTATTTAATATCCACTAAAATAAAATTTTTACTTAATATTGAATCTAAACTAATATTTTTATTTGGTACTAAATTTTAATTTATTTAATAAGCAATCATTGCCAAGGAAAAATTATGAAACTTCTATGCATGGGGGGAGTTTGGTTGGGAACAAAAGTTAATAAAAATTAATTTTAGCAAAGAGCCTTAATTGGCCCTTGGTTTGCTGGCAAAGAAACTGTTTTGATTTTCAAAAGCCTACTAAAATAACGTTTTTATTTGATATTAAATTTTAATTTATTTAATATCAACTAAAATAAAATTTTTGCTTAATATTGAATCTTAATTCATGGAGCGAGTAATAATAACATTGTTAGATCACCAGGGTTGTTTGGTGAAGCCCATCACTTCTCCCTCTCGCAACATCACTAAGTTAAAACATAATTATTAGCGGATAAAAAGACTGAGTTAAAACATTATCCTTAATGGATATACAATGCACCCGACCCATTGTCTAAATACATTTGCAAAAGATTCTTGGCTTTTGAAGTCTATCACACTCCTATTTTAGTCATGAAAGGTAAACTACTTGGAGAACAAGTCTACAAGGATGTTAATTTTGCACGTTTCCATCAGAAAAGGCTGGGAACTTTCATCATAGCCAATCACCATCCTATGGCATCCTACAACCCGTACTACTTGTAGAGCAAGTTTAAGGCTTAATCTGAGTAACAAAATAATTATACGATCTATTTAAAAACTAAAAATTAAATTTGGTCTCACAATCTAAATAAAACCCATATATTTCCTCTGCTTTCTTGGCCAATATTGGATTGAAAAATATCACCTCAAGTTCTTTTGTCTATTTTTGGTTTGGGCAGCCATGTGGGGTGTCTATTCGAGTAAGGAAAAGGCTCGGAATGTTCAAAATCGCAAGTGAGGGCTCCACCTAGATTAAAATATTTCATTTTCAGTTGTTGGCCTTTTGATGTGTCACAAGAAATTGTAAATTTTATGCTACAATATAAAAACTGAGTAATATTGTAGTGACTTTTATTTAGGGAGTACAGAAAACCTTTTCTCCTCGTTGTAAAAGCAGTCCAAAGTCCAAAATAACGTAAGGTACAAGGGCATCATTTTTTATGAAATAGAAATATGAACAAGAATGGAATGAATATTTTTATGAGTATTTTTTGTACATATTAATAAAATAAAAATTTTTATTTTATTATTATATTTAGTATGTTAAAATAAAAATTAAAAAAAGAAATTGTTCTAAGTTGTCTTTGCTGGTCTTTAATTATCCGATGCAGCCGTGTGGACCATCTTCCATCCCAGTTAGTTAGAAGACTCATGAATTTTTTTTAATTTGGAATTTATTATTAATTAAAATTTCTATATATTTATTTGTGTAAAATAAAAAAATTAAACTGCCAAATATGTAAAATTTGCAAATGGTGTCTTTTACACACGCGACTATAAAGTATAATTAGATTAAATTTAAATGTCAAACCCCATCTACAAATACATTTATATATTTTGTTTTTATGTCTCACAGTGTTATACTTCTGGACGTTTTAGTTTAAAAATAATTACAAAGAATTGTCAATTGTTAATTTATATAAAAAATTAAAAAACTCATTCCACAAGGAATCAATAGTTGTCGTATGGATTAATGTTTTAAAAATCTGACCTGCCATTATATTACAATTTAATCATCGATCGAATTAGTTAATAATAATAAAATATTTTAATAATAAATTTAAAATATAATAAATTAAGTATAATTTTTTTATATATTTTTATTTAAAATTTGTAGGTTATTATATAATGATATTAATATATATTTATTTTTAAATTAAAATTATATATATAATTTTAATTAAAAATTTTAAGAAATAATCGTGAACCGTTGGAGGCGCGTGAGGAGAGAGACTTTGAACTGTTAGACAAGAGGGTGCAGAGAGAAGGAGAGAGAGAGAGAGAGGCGTCTTGGGAGCTGGTTTCTGACTTGATTTTTTTATTTTAAAAAATTACTCGAACCATTTATTAGACCATTTACAGTCGAACTGGCCAGTCAGGATTTTAAAATATTAGTATAAATTGTAACTTTCACAAATCCCAAGGAGGCTGGGGAAGGTTGCTGATGCGTTCAGATTGTTTAGCCCGGCCTCCATCAACGGCAGACAATGAGCCAGCTGCACAGCCTTCACCTACGTCAAAATTACCATGTCACCTCCAACAACTTTTGAGAGTCCCGCGAAAGCGAATGTAAATGGATCACTTTCTCGAATTTCCTTGGCAAAAGAATAATAAAAAATCATCTATTCTCATTTCTGACTAGTCTTCTCACGCCGCTTATAAATTTACATTTACGCAAATCCCGCCCTGTCGAACGCTGTTCAAGTCCCCTGTTCTCTCTCTCTCTCTCTCTCGTGATACTACCCAAAGAAAAAAAATGAAGAGCAACGACGGAGTGGAGGAAGCAAAGGTGCCCTTGTTACAGCACTCATCATCTTCGCTCCAAGGAGATGGTCGTGAGGTTGACCTAAAAACAAGGGTGTGGATTGAATCAAAGAAGCTCTGGCACATAGTGGGGCCATCTATCTTCAGCCGTATCACCTCCTATTCCATGTTCGTCATCACCCAAGCCTTCGCTGGCCACCTTGGCGACCATGAGCTCGCCGCCATCTCGATCGCGAGCAACGTCATTGTCGGCTTCGACTTTGGCCTCTTGGTACTATTCTCCACCAATCCTTTCAAGAGCACATGGTTAATATGGTGCAAATAAGAATGAATTAGTTAATATAGTTTAATTTTTTAAATAAAAAACTCAAATTTCTAATGATGAAAATTAAAATTTTCTTTTAGAATTTGAACTTTATTGCGCTTAAGAAATTATAAAAAAGTTATTCTTATGTTTTCTGTGATCAGTTGGGAATGGCGAGCGCTTTGGAGACGCTATGCGGGCAAGCCTTCGGAGCCAGGAAGTACCACATGTTGGGAGTTTATATGCAGCGTTCATGGATTGTTCTGTTCCTATGTTGCATCCTTATTTTGCCCTTGTACCTCTTCGCCTCTCCCCTCTTGAAGCTTCTGGACAGCCGTCGGGGGTGGCGGAGCTGTCTGGGGTGCTGGCACTGTGGATGCTACCGCTTCACTTCAGCTTCGCTTTCCAATTCCCGCTTCAGAGGTTTCTGCAGAGCCAGCTGAAAATGGGGGTCATTGCTTGGGTGTCTCTGGCGGCGCTGCTTGTGCACCTATTTGTCACATGGCTGTTTGTTTACACACTAAAGCTTAACGTAATTGGGGTGGCGGTGACGCTAAATTTCTCTTGGTGGGCTTTGGCGGTTGGACTTTTCGGGTACACGGTGCTCGGTGGCTGCCCTCTCACCTGGACTGGATTCTCCATTGAAGCCTTTTCGGGCCTGTGGGAGTTCGTGAAGCTCTCCGCTGCTTCAGGGTCATGCTCTGGTACTCTCTCTGCAACAGTTTCAGTTATTCAAAAAATATTTATTTAAAATTTAAAATATTAATGTCATCTTCCATTTTAACTAATGATCAAACAGCTTGGAGAACTGGTACTACAGAGTGCTGATACTGATGACCGGAAACCTGAAGAACGCAGAAATCGCAGTTGATGCGTTGTCGATATGGTAATAATCTTCCACACGTTATTATTCAGAGGGAGAATTTGACATTCAAGGGATATTAAACTGAATTTGATTGTCCCTGCGGCTTGTTTGGATTTGAGAATGTGTTTTTTCTTTTCTTTTTTTTTTTTTGTTTGTCTTCTTTCTCTGGCAGCATGAACATTAACGGGTGGGAGATGATGATTCCCCTTGCGTTCTTTGCCGGAACAGGGTAAGTAAAACAAACCCATCTTCTCTTTGTTTTACAATGATAGCTATTGCTTTCACAATCCAATATTTATGAACAAAAGTCCACCTTGTGTACCTCTTCAAGAAGGCTTTCTGTTGGAGGTTGGCTGTCGGGCACTTGACCGTGTAACATCAGTTCATTAATTTATTTAAATTCTAGTTTTGTCCTTGAAGTATTAATTATAACACATTTAACCTCAAAATTTTAAAAATAAGTAACATTTTAATCAGAAATTTCTATTTCATTATATTAAAAGTTGCAAATCTTATTTTTTGTCCGAGTGAGGGGCTTGTGTTAATTAGTGAAAGTTTTGATTTTTGAAAGGTTGAGAAAATTTTGAAACTAAATATATTGCTCATGGAAAATATGATAATAAAATATAATTTTTTACTATATTAAATAATGAATAATTTAAATTTCTACTCATAGAATTGATTTGATCTTTAAAAAATCATTTATGAGCAGTTGACAAACTATGGGGCTGTAGACAGTGAGATTTTAATTTTATTTGGGAAAAAGTCGTTAGAATGAAAAAAAAAAAAAAAAAAGAAGCTGGCTTTTAATCACATGGGGCCAAACTATGTGGGCGGAGTCTATGTGAATACTTTTCCTCCGTGATTTTCTGAATCCCCCCTGCCACGTTTTGGTTCACAGAAATAAATTAATTAGATGGCACATGAAAGAACCCAATGCCATTCAAGGTTCTTCTGTGTAATGACTGCCATGTCGTATTGAAAAGCTCCTTTTAGGGCAAAAGAGGAGGAGCACGGACAAGTCTCGCCGCCTCGAAAATTGGAATGAGAGAGAAGAGATAAGATGGGAAAGTGAAGGGTGTGTTTGGCATCTAGGATATTAGGGTTGTGGACTAGAATTTCTTATATTGTATACCCAAAAATTAGATATTATGAAATTTAAAAATATTAATTTATCTTTTTTTTTTCTAAAATTTCAACTTAAGATATTGAAGATCTAATTCCAAAATTTTTAGACTTAAAAATCACTTATATCGTTGCATCCCTAAATTAATTAAAAAAAATGTTCTTCTCGTTTTACTTTTCAACTATTGTCGTGGAGCCAAGAGGGGATGAACGCTTGGACTAGCCGGCTTGCCATCAGATTTTGCTCTCTAAATGGTCCGTATTTTTGGTTCACTTTTCATTATCAACCCTAATTTCCATTTGGTTTCCAGCTAGGTTTTTTCAATCACCTTTGTCCAATGTCTTGTCCTTTTCTTTACGGCTGTCCCAAATTTATGGACCTGGGTTTTCCGACGAAAATAAAAATGAAGAAAAAGATCTATTTTTCTTGGTCATTGTTGTTACATGAGCAGTGAACGAGAGATTAGACTAAGGGAGAGTTTGGCAGTTTTATATTTGATTTTTCAAGGAAAAAAAATGACAAATGAAGAGTAACCTCATCTGTGGATTGTTGTGGGTATGTATAATACAGGGTAAGGGTTGCAAATGAGCTCGGGGCAGGCAACGGAAAAGCTGCGAAATTCGCGACGATGGTTTCCGTGGCTACGTCGACGGTGATTGGCCTCTTCTTCTGGTTCTTGATTCTCATCTTCCACAACGAGCTTGCCCTAATTTTCTCCTCCAGCAAACCGGTCCTGCAAGCAGTAAACAAGCTTTCGGTCCTCTTAGCTTTCACTATTCTTCTCAACAGCGTCCAACCGTTCTCTCCGGTAAATGCTTGCTTCTTAATTTTTACTTTTCGTTTTTGGGCTCATTAAATTTTTTTACTTATTTATCATATTTTTACTATGACAAATAGGGGTTGCTGTCGGATCGGGATGGCAATCCTACGTTGCCTACATTAATCTGGGCTGTTACTACCTGATTGGAGTGCCTCTTGGATTTATTATGGGATGGATTTTCAACCAAGGAGTCATGGTATGTTTTTTGTCATCTTTCTGCTCACCATTCCTGGAGTCCTAGTTTGGTCACTGGTACAAAGCAGGGGCTCCAATACAAATTATTTATTTAAATGGGGTGACTATAAAATATCTGGTCATTCTTCGGGCTGATTATATTTGCAAAATAATCAGGTTTATTATGATTTATTTGTATAAATTATGAAAACAAAAATATAATTTACCTGCAAATGGAAATTGTTAACTTGGCAGGGTGTGTGGGCGGGGATGATATTTGGAGGAACTGCGGTTCAGACATTGATATTGGCCGTGATTACCATTCGATGTGACTGGGACAAGGAGGTGATACACAAGGGCTAATAAAAACTATTTTTTGCAGTTTCTTCCCCTTCAACTTTTATCTGTTCGCAATTCACTCCACTCATTAATTGATGGATCGTCTATCTTGGAAATTGCAGGCGGAGAAAGCAACCATGCATGTGAAGAAGTGTCAGACAGGACCTGAAATTGCCATTTTCAGAACAGAACACCTCCAGCCCACTGAATGCTTCAAAAAAATTTAGGCCTTCTAATAGCTCTCTGTTCTTGTCCTGTCAATAAAAAAAAAAAAAAATCTTTCTGTTTTTATGATTGATAATTTAAATTTTCTTCTTCGAGAAAAATTTCTCACATAGCTGTAAATGGAAGGTGGAACAAACTATTATACAAATAAAAGTTTGTATCTCATCGGATTGTTATGACTTATCTCAAGCATTAATGCATTATTATTGTACAAATGTAAACTATTTGTCTATTTATTTAGAAAAGCGAAAGGAAAAGTTAGTTTGAACCACTAAAAGGGTCCTACTCTGGGACACTTGTTTGTATTCAAGTGAGCCAGAAACACAAGACTTGTTTGGCTTTACTAAGCAAGAGGTATTTAATATAGTTTAAAGCATTATTCATGACAGATGTATATCTAAAAGACTGATTCTTTATTAAGATAAAATTGCTTGATAAATGAGACTTAGATAAACGAATGAGAACATAGGCATATTTGAGATGATGTGTTGGACAAACAAAGCACCAAAAAAATCAAAGTCAAGTTTAATATGTAACTTTTTTATTAAATAAAAAAGTATTATTATTTAATTTATTTTATCACTTCAAATAGTTAATTACTTATTCACATTTTTAATACAAATAATAAGTGGTATATAGAGTAGAGAATAAATAAATAAAGTAATGTCTTATGATCTTATTATACATAATTTTTTTTAACTTTTGCAATAAGAATTTTATTAAACAAATAATTTTTTATTTATCACTAGTGTAAATTATAATTTTAAATAAACAAAACCGAATGGATTTAAACTGTATCCATGCTTTGATTTTTCTTTAATTATAAAAAAAAAATTTCTGTCTGCAAAAACATGCCAACCAAGGGTTTGCTGATTTGCTGCAATGGAGCTTCCTCTGTGTGGAAGTGTTTCTACGTTGATCGTCCTTAGTTTCAATTAAATTGTCCTGCTCTGAAAAACAACAACAAAAACTTGTAATGCAAAACCTTGGTGTAAAGTGAAATAAAATATTTTGAAAACCTTATTTTCGAGTGAATAATTTCAATATATCAAACTCGAAACTAAGAATGCAAAATAGGAATAGATATACCTCCAGCCATTGATAAAGACTCAAAAGTGTGTCTGAAACCGAAAGCCTCGTATTGCACAATCCAAAATATGAAAACTGTAAGAGTTCTTCTAAGCTCTCAAACGCCTCATTGATGGTATGTATAATTTTCCACGTATTGAGCTTAAGGACCCTTACCTTTATTTATAGACACGTTTCCATCAAACGTGATAAATACAAAATAAATTAGAGATAATTAAAAGATAAGTACAGAGCATATCTAGATGGAATTATTCTTTATATTGGATAATTACATTAATAATAATTATTAAATATAATAAAAGGATAATTCCAACATTCTCTCACTTGCTCTGTATCTTGTAAACCTTATAAGAAATATAATGTATGGATCATGGTGATAAGTCCTCTTATTACGAGTATTATCTTTCATGTGTCACAATACAATTTATTTCTTTAATATTATCTCAAAGTAACTGAATGAATAAACCTTATGTTTATTCTAGGTCCAACGAGATGTTATTCTCAAACCATAATATATACATTCAAAATGAGAAATAACCAAACAGAATAAGAGTTTTAATCCAAACAAAATCCGTACAGAATTACATTATGGAACCAAGTCCCATACGAACTACATGATCCTGATAACTTCTTGTTGGCATGCCTTTAGTCATAGGATCGGCAATCATTAATTCAGTGCTAACGTGTTCAATTACTACTTTATTCTTTTCAACACATTCCCTTATGGCTAAAAACTTAATGTCGATATGTTTATTTCGACTACTGCTTTTATTGTTTTTAGCCAAAAATACAGCAGCTGAATTGTCACAATAAATTCGTAATGGCCTACTAATTGAATCCACAATCTTGAGGTCAGAAATAAAACTCTTCAACCATACACCATGTGAGGTAGCCTCAAAACAAGCAACAAATTCTGCCTCCATAGTAGATGTGGCAGTTAAGGTCTGTTTGGCACTTTTCCAGGAGATAGCTTCACCAGCAAGCATAAAGATGTATCCTGAAGTCGATTTTCGTGAATCGACACATCCAGCAAAGTTTGAATCAAAATAGCCAATCACCTCAAGCTCGTTCGATCTTCTATACATGAGTATGTAGTCTTTAGTTCCCTTGAGATACCTCATCACTTTTTCGCAACTCTCCAGTGATCCATACTAGGATTACTCTGATATCTTCCTAACATTCCTATAGCAAATGCAATGACAGGCCTTGTACAAACTTGAACGTACATAAGGCTCCCAATTGCCGAGGCATATGGAATATTTTTTATTTGCTCCCTTTCAAGATCATTCCTAGGGCATTGGTTCAAACTGAACTTGTCCCTTTTAAGAATGGGTGCCACACTTGGTGAACAATCTGTCATCCGAAATCTCTCTAATACTTTATTGATATAAGCTTCTTGAGACAATCCTAATACACCTTGTGCTTTTCTCTGTGGATCTTAATGCCAATGACATAAGATGCCTCACCCATATCCTTCATATCAAAATTTTTAAAGAGAAATTGTTTCACCTCATATAGCAACCCTTTATTGTTGGTTACAAGTAGTATATCATCCACATATAGTATAAGGAAACAAACTTTACTCCCACTGACCTTAAGGTATATACATTGATCCATAACATTTTCTTTAAATCCAAAAGAAGAAATAACTTCATGGAACTTCAAATACCACTGACGGAAGTTTGTTTCAAACTGTATATGGATTTCTTAAGCTTGCAAACCAAGTGTTCGCCATTACTAGAAGAGAATTCTTCAGGTTGTTTCATGTAAACCTCTTCTTCTAGATCACCATTGAGAAATGCAGTTTTTACATCCATTTGATGAAGTTCTAAGTCAAAGTGTGCAACTAATACCATAATTATCTGGAGAGAATCTTTCTTAGACACAGGAGAGAATGTCTCCGTGTAGTCAATTCCTTCCTTTTGAGTAAACCCTTTGGCTACAAGTCTTGCCTTATATCTTTTGATGTTACCCAACGAATCTCTTTTGATTTTAAAAACCATTTATATCCAATGGCCTTTGAACCTTTAGGTAACTCGACAAGATCCTAGACTTTGTTAAACACCATTGAGTTCATCTCTTCCTTCATAGCATTATGCCATAAAACAGACTGTTTAGAACTCATTGCATGTAAAAACGTTTCTGGATCATTTTCAGCCCCTATATTGTAGTCAGATTCTTGTAGATATGTGATGTAGTCACTAGATATAGTTGAATTCCCTATTCTAGTAGATCTCCTCGAATTGTCTTCATGAGAAGCAAGCTCCTCAATAGTTTGTTCAACTTGTTCTAGAGATTGTTGAACAGTTGGATCTATAGAAACTTGATCTTGTGAAGTTACATTTATTGGTTGTGTTTCACTTATTTGAGGTGTATCATATATATCAACCAATTCTTCACTCATAATAGGAGTTTGATTTTTCACAAGATCTTGCTTGAGAGATAAATCCCAAGTTTGATCACTCCCACTGATCAAGTCATTCTCAAGGAATTTCGCATTTTTTGACTCTACAAATCTAGTGCTATAAAATGGACAATAGAATCTGTATCCTTTGGATCTTTCGGCATATCCAACGAAATACCCACTTATGGTCCTTGGATCTAGTTTCTTTTTTTGTGGATTATAAATTCTTATTTCAGATGGACATCCCCATATGCGCATATGTCGCAAACTCGATTTCCAACCTTTGAATAACTCGAATGGTGTTTTAGAAACAGCCTTGGTTGGAACTCGGTTTAATATATATGTTGCCGTCTTAAAAGTCTCAGTCTACAAGAATCTATTAAGCTTGGAGCTGCTAAGCATGCTCCGCACCATATCTAATAAGGTCCGGTTTCTTCTTTCTGCTACACCATTTTGATCCGGAGACCCAAGCATAGTGTATTGGACAACAATCCCATTTTCCTCAAGAAATCTCGCAAATAGACCTGGTGCTTGTCCATCATTAGTACATCTACCATAGTATTCACCTCATCGATCTAATCTCACGATCTTTATTTGCTTTCCACATTGTTTCTCTACTTCTGCCTTGAAAACTTTAAAGGCATCTAAAGCTTCATGTTTATTATGTAGTAAGTAGAGATATATACATCGTGAATAATCATCAATGAATGAGATGAAATATTTCTGACCACACGAGTCTATGTCTGGACTACAAATATCTGTATGTATGATCTCTAAGATCTCTGAACTCCTCTTTGCACCTTTCTTGGATATGTTAGTCTGCTTTCCCTTTATGCAGTCTATACATGTCCCAAAGTCAGTAAAGTTTAGAATACTAAGTACTCCTTCATTTACCAACCGTTTGATTCTGTCAAGGAATATATGTCCCAGTCTACGATGCCACAAAATAGAGGAATTTTCATTCACAATACATCTTTTAATACCCCGCATTGTTTTGAACATGCATTGCATCATATATAGAATTATCTTTCAAATTAATTCGAAAAAGCCATCAGACAATGTACCATTCCCAACCAAATTAGATTTATAAAATAAATTAAACGATAAATTAGAAAACCTAAAAGAATATCCCAAAGGTACGAGTCTTGATACTAAAATCAAATTCCTAGAAAAATTTGGAATAAAAAATGTCTTTTCCAAAAACAAAACAAAACCAGAATCTAAAATTAATTTGCATGTTCCAACAGCTTCAACCGGCGAGCTCATTTTGTTTCCTATATAGATGCATTGCTTATTTCCCACCGGTTTCCTGTGGCTTAGAAAGCCCTGCAAGGTATTAGAGATATGGATTGTAGAACCAGAGTCAATCCACCATGTATTATGACAAATATCAGTCATATTAGATTCAAAACAAACTAGAGATAAAGGATTACCTTTCTTTTCAAGCCAAATCTTATACTTGACATAATCCTTCTTGGCGTGTCCCTTCCTTTTACAGAAGAAAAACTT